TTGTAAAATTAAATTTGTATATTTAAAATAATAGAAAATTTTTAGACAATTAATTACCCATATTTTTAGGAATTGACAAAGTCCAAGGTAAATTTGGTGTGGTTGGGATAGAAATTTGTGGTTGAGGTTTAGTAACTTTTGCTTTTGATCCTTTTTAGTCACGTGAAAAGGACAGGGGACAGTTATAAGTGGCTGGTTCCCTGTCCCCTGTCCTTTTCAATATTTACCCACTAAATCTGCAAAAGGACAGGGCTTGGGACAGTTGACCCACATGAAAATATGAAAAAGGACAGGGAAAACCTTGGGACAGTTGTGGCGCGGAAGTGGGACAAGGCATACTGTCCCCTGTCCTTTTCGAGTTTTCCGAGTAAAAAATTGAAAAGGACAGGGGACAGGTTTACTGTGCCGCACCTGTCCCTCAGCTTTTTTCGCATAATTTCTTGAAAGGACAGGAAATTAATATTTAATTAAAGAACTTTTTGTAAAAATTCCTTTATTTTTATTAATAAGAAAAAATATAAACAAGTAATAAATAAATCATTAACAATCATCAGAAGTGATAATTATTGTTTCTGTATATTTTTTATCTTTATCTTTTATTCTTTTACTCCGACGAACTTCGTGTTTTCTAGTTTTTAAAAATTTATTTAGCATGATGTTTATGTAAAAATAACAGACAAATCAATACAAATTACCTCTTAGATTTGTTTATTTTTGATTGATTATTTGTTTTCTTCTCTTTGGTTGAATCATTACTACTAATTAAAGTATATTTGTTGTTAACTTCAGTTAGATAAAGTAAAATTATAGAAATAAAGATTATTCACCTTTTAACATAATAATATTGGTGTTCTTTGTTTCTAAAATAATTAACCACTAAAAAAAGAAATAAAAAAATTAACTCTGTTGAATAACTACGTAATACTTTTTTTGTAAATAAACTTACAATCTATTCCTGAAATATTTTCTTCATTAGGAATTTTTATATTGTGATTATAATCTGATGACAATTTTTCTAAAAAATTTTCTAAAAAATATTTATAAACATCAGTGATTGTATAAATGTAATAGTTGTTTTCATTTAATACTTACTTGCTCTACTATTAGAATAATTGATGAATGAATTGGGATTATTCAATGTATAGGCCACTAAAACAGTCAAAGTTTGACATTGCATGATCTCTCTCTAAATCAGAACATGAATGGTGAAATCTCAACAAATAAATCTGAACCAATAAAACGAACCTTCTACTGCTTAGATCATAATGCAAAAAAATATCCTAGTATTCTGGGAATTGGCAGAACTTATTTTGATAATATCATCTCACCATGGTAATGCTAAAAATGCCTCATTGAAATGCAGCTCTTTTGGTAAGTAGTAATTTACATATATGTTTATGTTTGTATATTAGGTTAATATTTTATTTATTCAATTATGTTTATATATAGAAATGCAATTTATTGAATATGCCAAAACTGATCCTTACAATCTATTTATAGAAGAAAAGAATCATTTACCTGCTCAATCAGGAGAAATATATCATGTTATAAATAATGAAGATGGCAGTAATGACCATAATAAAATTGGCAAATCATGCATAGTTAAAAAAGTTAGATCAAATAACTGTAATGATGAAAACATTTATGCTGCTAAAATTATCAATGTCAATAATGGAAAATATGACAAAAACAGAATAATTGAATATAGAAATGAAATTGATATTTTTGAAAATATTGGACCATGAGAATATTATAAAGGTAGTTGATGATTATTTGACAAGGAGAATATTTTGCCCTATTTTTGTGGAGGATTATATTAAAACATTAAATGGTTTTATAAATTTCCAATGTTGGAAAAATTTTGCTTTCCAAATTTGTTCAGCTATAAAGGCAAGAACATTTTTATTATATTTTTATTAATATTGTATTCAAATATTACATTTAATTTAATTTGCAATTCGTGATAAACGGAAAGGATCGACATACATTTTTAATATGTAGTAAAATGCGGGATAATAAACATAATAAAATTAGTAAAAATAATATTGAGCTGATTTTAATTTTTAAAAATTTTAAAATGACTAAACATCCCAATTTAACTGTAAATCTCATTTCAATAGGCCAAATAAAGCCACACTTGCACTATGACGTAGATTCTAGAGAATGGTGGGTTATGAAATGTAAAAGTAAACCAGAAGAAGGTGCGTTACTTTATCCAAGGAGAGTTGATTGGGAAACAAGCATAGAACAAAATGGCAGACAATACTATACATGTATTACTGAAGGCAATGAAAATAGTAATTTATTGCCAGGATATAGATGTCGTTCTGGGTGCAAGTTTAACAAATTCCATCAACAGGTTTGAATTAGTAGTTTTTTCTAAATAAAACAATAAACAAAAAAAAATTTTTTATATTCTATATTTAAATATATTAAAGTACATCATCATTAAAATCTATGTCTCAAATTACCACTTATTCTTAGAACCAGGTATGGGATTGGATAAATTAAAGAAAGATGATATTAAAAAATTGTTGGATCAAAGAGACCTAAATTATGATGAAAAAAATAATCAATCAGATTCAGTTGTACTTTTAAGAACAAACATTGAATTTGAAACAGATAATAAAATAGAAGGTAATAATTATTTTTCTAAACACCTAAATACTTGGCTAATTATATGTTTTTATTATCTAGAAGCAAAGAAAAGAATGGACTTAGATGTAATAATGGATGATGAAGATGATATGGATAATTTACAATCAAGAAAAAAAAAAAGAGCTTATCTATTATAGAAGAACTATTTGATAAAATTCTTCCATTTATTTATATAGAAATTACTTCCCACTTGCTGGGCTTTGAAAGAAAATCAGGAATTAGGAAAGAAAGGCGGTGGAAAACATATGTCTGATAAAGTAGTTGAGTTATTAAAAATCTTTTTCATACAGGTGATGCATGTAAAAGTGAATGATATACACCTAAAGAAATGCTTGAAGAATTGAAAAAAAACGTGGAAATAGGTGAGTTGGAAGTAATTGACATGCCAAAATTAAGTACAATTGAAAATTGTATTAGTAGGTATTCCGACAGCACAAGCTAGAAATTGCTAAAAAAACAAATAAAATAACTAAATAAATAGTTTTTATTACTTTTCTCAAGTAAATCATAATAAGTGAATTTATTTTAATAGTATGTTTTTCTACCCATAATCCTGAGCTGATTTTGAATTTGTGCTTTAGTAGTAAAAAAATAAATGTATAGTTTCTTAACAAGAAAAAAAATTATAGATTATACTAATGTTTTTTATTATGCATGAGTGTGGTACTTGATAATAAGGTTTTGTGTCAGCAGGAGATAAAGTTACGTGATAAAAATTATTTTATTATAAAATCAAGAAATCTTGCCCCAATCTGCATTATGTAATTTCTTTCTGTTTCTGGCGAATTGCGAATTAATCATTTTAAACATTACCATAGTTGTGCATATATCTTTTATACTACATTTTAATTTTTTTATTCCCTCTAGTACATTCATGAAAATCACATAATGCATTGAGACATCAAACCTGACAACATCATGTTTACAGATTCTAGTTTTAATCAAGTTAAGTTGATTGATTTTGGTGAGTCAAAAATAAATAGAAGGATCTATTAACAGCATGGGCAATTATATTGAACAGACCAGAACAGATTTAGTTGGGACACCCTTATTTGTTGCACCTGAACTTGCCAAGGCATTCAAAGATAGTATTGAGATTTTTTCAACAGATAATGATAGTGATGGTGATACTGCTCAATATGAATATGACAAATCTATTGATATCTGGTCATTTGAGATAGTAAATTACTATATGTTGTCAAAAAAATATCCTTGGAATGTTAATAATCATGTTGAAGAAGATCAAATGATTATACTAAGCTTTATGACAATATAATGAAAGGTGACCTATATTTTTCTACATTTAAAACAATTAGAAGTGATATTAATGAAAATAAAACTGTTGTGGATTTTATTCTTAAATTGTGTCAGGTAGATAGAGATAAAAGGATGTCATCTGAACAAGCATTGCAGCATACAATGTTTAGTTAATTTATATGGACAAAGAAATAATAATGATAATTTTAATTATTTTATACATCTGGCAAACTTGATGATCAAATACATACTCTAATCAAACTGAATACATTGTATTGAATGTAATTCTTTTCATTTGTTGAAGTTGTATATGCAATAAAAAAAAGTTTAAATCTACCTATTTCATCATATAAGGTTTAATTGGATTGGTTAATTGAACATTATTAATATTAATATCATTTAAAGGGCAATGACAATATTTTTGGATATGAACTAAATAGTTATCTATCATTTTTTTTTTATTACTATTATTATTGTCAAGATCTTTAGCATATATTTGATACTATATGTTCATTATATCATAAGATTTTGTTGCACATTACTATAGTTAAAAACAGTAATAATAGTAGCAATTCTAGATTGTGAATATAGATTATTCACTCCCTTCTTATTTATCATCAAATTTTTTTTTATATTGATGATAATTTTAAAACCTCAAGCATTGACATGCTAGGCCTCTATGTCTTCAAATGAATTGAGATAAACAGTTTATGTTGCTGATAACTATTTTGAGTTTAGAAAAATATTGCTTTCCTGTTATCATAAAAAGTGGTCTCTTCTTGTAAAATATTCAACTACATTTTTACAACCTTGAAAAATATTTTTTGAGTCACATGAAAAGGACAGAGGACAGTTATAAGTGGCTGGTTCCCTGTCCCCTGTCCTTTTCAATATTTACCCACTAAATCTGCAAAAAGACAGGACTTGGTACATGAAAATATGAAAAAGGACAGGGAAAACCTTGGGACAGTTGTGGTGCGGAAGTGGGACAAGGCATACTGTCCCCTGTCCTTTTCAAATTTTCTGAGTAAAAAATTGAAAAGGACAGGAGACAGGTTTACTGTGCTGCACCTGTCCCTTGGCTTTTTTTGCATAATTTCATGAAAAGGACAGGAAATTTATATTTAACTAAAAAATTTCTTGTAAAAATTCCTTTATTTTTATTAATAAGAAACAATATAAACAAAGTAATAAATAAATAATTAACAATCATCAGAAGTGATAATTATTGTTTCTGTATATTTTTTATCTTTATCTTTTATTCTTTTACTCCAACAAACTTCAGTGCTTTCAGCAGTCACTCTAGTTTTTAAAATTTTATTTAGCATGATGTTTATGTAAAAAAATAACAGACAAATCAATACAAATTACCTCTTAGATTTGTTTGATTTTGATTGATTATTTGTTTTCTTCTCTTAGGTTGAATCATTGCTACTAATTAAAGTATATTTGTTGTTAACTTCAGTTAGATAAAGTAAAATTATAGAAATAAAGATTATTCACCTTTTAACATAATAATATTGGTGTTCTTTGTTTCTAAAATAATTAACCACTAAAAAAAGAAATAAAAAAATTAACTCTGTTGAATAACTACGTAATACTTTTTTTGTAAATAAACTTACAATCTATTCCTGAAATATTTTCTTCATTAGGAATTTTTATATTGTGATTATAATCTGATGACAATTTTTCTAAAAAATTTTCTAAAAAATATTTATAAACATCAGTGATTGTATAAATGTAATAGTTGTTTTCATTTAATACTTACTTGCTCTACTATTAGAATAATTGATGAATGAATTGGGATTATTCAATGTATAGGCCACTAAAACAGTCAAAGTTTGACATGTTATATTTTTTGATTCTAAATGTGCCATTCCTCCATCCTCCAAATCATTATATCTGTAGACAGCCATTTGATCATTGAAGCTTCGTATTACTTTACAGTAGAAATGGTGTCCACCTGGTAAAGTACTAAATGCACGAGCTGTCAACATATATTCCAAAGTTTCTTCACTTGATTTGCAATAAAGATGCAATGGAAAGTCTAATTGATTTGATGAATGATATGAATTACCATCTCTCTGAGTCAATTCAAATATTAAAATTGGTGGATAAGAAATAATATATTCTTCATAATTAATTTTCCGATTAATACATTGACCAAGATTTGAACGAACATAAGGACAGGGTTCATCAGGATGTACACGAAAAATTATTTCATTCTTATTTGTGAATAATGCAGAAACTTGCCCATTTAAATGTGGGTTTTCTTTAAAAAAAGGACCATCAAAACCCTCCATCCCATTTATTGAGTAAAATGGTTTAATTGGTATTGTAGAAATTTTAATATGTCCCGAATTACATGTCCATTTTCGCAATCCAAGAACACAAAAACCTGATACTAAATTAATTGATTCTTTTTCTTCTGCAATAATTTTTTCGAACCAATTTGTTATTGAACCAAATTGGTTGTCTTCTTCCCATTGTTTTTCAATTATATGTTGACGAATCATCTCTCTACCATTATTGAGACTGGTTTTAACATTCTTTGTTCCCAAAGCATCCCTAAGAGTAAAACTTATGTGAAGTTTTTTTAATCCGGAACCATTGTTTTGCATGGTTCCAATATTAGATGGCCACCATGTCACATTGTTAAGATAACAAGTATATAATATTTCTAATAAGGCAGTGACATAACAAGAATTTCTGTTATGTGAATATGATTGGTATTTTTGTGATTCAATATTATTGTTCTCTATTCCTTTATTATTTTTCAAAAGAGCTTTGGTTGTATCTGGTGGTCTGCGATCATTCACACCTGCACCTTGCTTGATTTTTTTTCGTGATGGTTTAGTAGACCCATATAATTCAGCGACTTTTTTCCAAGGCTCCACATCACCATATTTTAAAGAATGACCTTTAGTTCGATTTTGAAAATCTACTTCTAAAGAAATTACAAATAATAATAGATTTTCAAGACCTACATGTAAAAAATAAATAAATAAATATTTAATTCAAATTTCAAATATAGATTAAAATAATAAATAATAAATAATACCTGTTATAATTGATTGTTGTGTAGTTCCGCACATATAATATTGGCGATGCATTGACTCTTGTGCATTAGTGGAATTTGGTAATGAGGCAGCTAAATCTGGATTCATTGAACTTAAAGCAGGAAAAAGAATTTTTCCCGCATCTGTGTAAATCCACCACTCTAACCATGTATTTGAATCTGGCCAGTTTTTTTTAATAAGTTTAACATTATCATCAAATTTTTCTTTTTCACAAATGTCCAAAAGTTTCATAACAGTTGAAACAAAATTGGCCGAAGAATCATGGCTTATGATGACATGGTTACGCGCAATTCTTGTTATGGATTGCTGGAAATGTTCTTGGCAACCTTTTAATAAAGACTTTGCTTCCTTTTCCAATGTAATTTCATGTGAATTGATTATGTCAATTGGCAGATTTTTGTCACAAATTTTTTGTAAACCATGCTCAATATATGCTTCAACAAAACCATTTCTCTCTGCATATAAATTATTATTTGGTGATTTTTTAACCTTATCAACCCATGAGAACAAATATTTGAAATGTTCTTTGTAGTGTACACCATCTTCTTTTAAAATTACAGAAATTAATATTGGTATCCACCTTTGGAGAAGAGGACAATATGTGGAACTATTATTATAATAATAAAGTCATTTTTGATTATTAGATATGTATTAATATTAATTTATATGTGAATTTCAACTTACCTAGATAGCAAAAAGGCATTCGCGAAATATTTATATGTGCTATCAGTTAAAATTCCCGAAAAGTTATTTTCAGAAAAGGCTTGATTTTGCATCCAATCTGATTGTAAACATATAATTCCTTTATTTTGGAAATCTGCCTTTTGAACAAAGTTCGGGTGTTCTTCTTGAAATCTAAGAAAATCAATTACAAAATTATCACTATTTTTACGAGATATTTTTGTAATAATTTTTTCTTGGTCAATTATGCTTCGACGATAGTATGCAACACGATCATTGTTTGAGTATGCATCTGAAATATTTTTAACAGATCCCAATGGGCTATTATTTTTGAATGATTGACCCACTTGAAGTTTTTTTGGTAATGTATCAGGAGTGGAAAGTATTCTTTCTTTAAATTTTTCCTTTTCAATGTTAAATGGTTTTGTTTGGAGGCATCTTCCATGTTGGTGATGCATATAATGAAGAAGAAAATAACGAAATCCACTTTTGTCAGGATTATCCAAACTAATGAATTTACAACTTGCTGAACATTTGATCCACTCCAAGGATCCTATTTTAAAAATGCGAATAAAATATGCAAATTAATAATTAATAAATCATAAATTAATTCTCATTTAATTTACATACCACTACAAGTAGGAATAGGACATCCTTTTTTGACTTGTTCTTTTACTTTTCCACCATGATTTTTGATTTTTGGCCTGACTTGTGCCTTACATTTTGAACATTCAATCATTCCCAAACACCGTTTAAGATTTATTTGTGCATTATAGACAGAATTTCTTCTTGATTCTGAACATTCAAAAGCCCAACCATTTTGGAGCCAATCTTTTGGTTTAGTAGTATATTTAAAGATCAAGTTTCCGCAAGGCCAATGTGGGTAGTCTTTGCCTTCATCTTCATGGGAATTAGTACAATCATGACTAGGTTCTACAAGCAATTTAAATTTTTTGACAATAAGTCAAATTAAATTATTAACGTTAAAATATTCTGAATTGTAGTCTACCTTGATTAATTGTTTCTTCAAATTTTTTGATGAATTCAGCAAACTTATTGTTCATTTTTATCAATCAGAGTTATGTCAATAAAGTATTTGTAAAGTATAATAATTCTTTTAAAGTTCGTGTAATTTTTGGTATTTTTTTATTTCTTTTATACATTTTGCCAACAAAAAATACAAGTCTTTTTGAATACTTTATTCTACTAATTTCGTTACTACTAAAAAAAAAAAAAGAATAATTTATAATTATCTTTCATTGTCAAATAGTTAACTAAGACTTTTTTAAAGGTGTAGAGAAGATACTTATTTCTACTAAAAAGAAAAAATCAATTAACTTTTTTGATTTCTTTATCCTACTAATTCCGTTACTACTAAAAAACAGAATAATTTATAATTGTCAAAAAAAATCAATTAAACCTTTTTGATTTATGAAATTAGCATGATAAAGAAATTTAATTAATTTGATTTTCTCTTTTCCTTTTAGTTACAATAAAGTATTTTTTCATTCATGCTTTTAAAAAATTTAATTGGTTCTTAATGAAAATATTTCTTAACAATGAAGGGATTATTCAGTCTTTTTTAATATTAATGAAATTAATATAATAAAGAACATGGAAAAAAAAAAGTTTTACTATTACTAAAAAGCAAAAGAAAAAAAACGTCAAATCAATTAAGTAAGTTTTCATTGTTAAATCAGCTGTAAAAAGTAAAAAGAAAAAATACATGTGTCAAAAAAGTCCAGGCAACAAAAAAAACCCAATTATATTTTTTTCCACCATTACTATAAAGAGAAGAAGAATATAAATCAATTGTTTAATTTCTAAATATACTAAAAATTGAGCCACATTTTTATAACAAAATAGGTTAGAAATTTTATTAATATTAAATGCATGATTTATTCTTAATGTAGATAATTAATTAAATTTTTGATCGCAACCACTTTGTGAGAAACTTTGCACACTCCTTTGGAAACAATTTTTGATGATAGCATTGCAAGGTGAAGATATCTTGTTATTTATTAAATATTTTATTCCCATTTATGATATATTATGAAACTATAATTAATTGAAATGTAGATAAGTGACTTGAATTCATACTCCTTTGGAATAATTTTTCAATAAAGGAATATTAACAAGTTTCAACTTGGAAATTATTTTCTTTTTGTTATCATTGATTAACTGCTCTCCCACCTAACAATATTATTTGGTATGAAAATTATCATCTTTATTGTAATTTCCTGTCCTTTTCAAGAAATTATGCAAAAAAAGCTGAGGGACAGGTGCGGCACAGTAAACCTGTCCCCTGTCCTTTTCAATTTTTTACTCGGAAAACTCGAAAAGGACAGGGGACAGGGAACCAGCCACTTATAACTGTCCTCTGTCCTTTTCTAGTGTCCCATAATTTTTGAATCTGTGCTGGGGAGAAATTTTTCCATCCACCTATATTAGGCAAGGATCTAGCTCTAATATAACCAGCATATTGACCTTCTGTTGGCCATTGCCATTCAAACCAATTGGATATACCTGGTATTGTTTTCATTTTTCCTTTATTTTTTTCCCTATTCGGTGTCAGGTTTGCTACTGAAGTGCCTAGTAAACCTTTGATGGCTAATTCAATATCATTACCTTCTGTAATATTACATCCTAATCTAACATATCTTTTAATTGAATGTGTGCTTTTAAAAAATTTAATTGGTTCTTAATGAAAATATTTCTTAACAATGAAGGGATTATTCAGTCTTTTTTAATATTAATGAAATTAATATAATAAAGAACATGGAAAAAAAAAAGTTTTACTATTACTAAAAAGCAAAAGAAAAAAAACGTCAAATCAATTAAGTAAGTTTTCATTGTTAAATCAGCTGTAAGCCCAGGCAACAAAAAAAACCCAATTATATTTTTTTCCACCATTACTATAAAGAGAAGAAGAATATAAATCAATTGTTTAATTTCTAAATATACTAAAAATTGAGCCACATTTTTATAACAAAATAGGTTAGAAATTTTATTAATATTAAATGCATGATTTATTCTTAATGTAGATAATTAATTAAATTTTTGATCGCAACCACTTTGTGAGAAACTTTGCACACTCCTTTGGAAACAATTTTTGATGATAGCATTGCAAGGTGAAGATATCTTGTTATTTATTAAATATTTTATTCCCATTTATGATATATTATGAAACTATAATTAATTGAAATGTAGATAAGTGACTTGAATTCATACTCCTTTGGAATAATTTTTCAATAAAGGAATATTAACAAGTTTCAACTTGGAAATTATTTTCTTTTTGTTATCATTGATTAACTGCTCTCCCACCTAACAATATTATTTGGTATGAAAATTATCATCTTTATTGTAATTTCCTGTCCTTTTCAAGAAATTATGCAAAAAAAGCTGAGGGACAGGTGCGGCACAGTAAACCTGTCCCCTGTCCTTTTCAATTTTTTACTCGGAAAACTCGAAAAGGACAGGGGACAGTATGCCTTGTCCCACTTCCGCGCCACAACTGTCCCAAGGTTTTCCCTGTCCTTTTTCATATTTTCATGTGGGTCAACTGTCCCAAGCCCTGTCCTTTTGCAGATTTAGTGGGTAAATATTGAAAAGGACAGGGGACAGGGAACCAGCCACTTATAACTGTCCCCTGTCCTTTTCACGTGACTAAAAAGGATCAAAAGCAAAAGTTACTAAACCTCAACCACAAATTTCTATCCCAACCACACCAAATTTACCTTGGACTTTGTCAATTC